GTACCTGTGTAATCCCTAAATCAAACACATGGCAGCCTAGGTAAGCCCTTAACCTCGGGATCAACAAGCTTTGGCCCTTGGAGTCATCAGCCATCGTGTTAAATCATAATTCTCTTTATTTTTGCACTTTGTTCGCGATGTTCTGAAGTAACTTTTTAGGGAACACGGGTTAGGAGAGGTATACGATAATTCGATCATAATAATATTGTGACACTAACTGTGGGGATTTCTGTATTGCAGAGATACAACACTCAAGTCACGTCACTTACGATGGCCTGATCATTATTAGCCAGTACCATTTGGCTCCCTTAGTTCTATATGGTTCAGTAGGCGTGACCTATACACAGAAATAACAGCTTTCCTCCACATGGTGTTGTCAGATTCAGCCTTGCACCTGCTTGTTTGTTCACGCGCATGAGTATGTGAAGAGGCTCCTTATTCTTCCTCCCTCTTCCCTTTTGCTGTGACCCAGTGTAGATCTGTAACCCAGGGACACAGGGTAACTGTACCGGCATTAAAATAGCAAACATGGGGAACAGAGCATGTTATTAGATTCACTAGTTTCACGTCTCCCTGGGTGTGGCTATAAATAGCCTCTCACACTGGAATAGAGTTTTCCCCAGCGATGCAGACGAAAGCCAGAGGAACAGCTGCGCTTAAGCCAAGTCCTGTTAGATCAGCGGAGTCACATGAGCATGTTCCTGTCTCTCTCTCTCTGGTCTTTTCTTTCTGTCTCTGTCTCCAGTCCCTCATTCACCTCTAGTTTCTCTTGCTCCTAATCTGCCCCGCTATCTGTATTTCACAGACTTCTTTATGTCGCAGTCTTGCAGTATCTTTGTCTCTCTGTCACTGTCTTCTGTCTGTCTGTCTGTCTGCCTGCACTGTGTTTGCTCTGTTTCCTGTCTGTCTTGATGTCTTGTAATTTGTCTCTCTCTGACATTATCTCTGACCCCCTCGCTTTATCATCCTGTCATTCTATCTTCTTTCCTCCCTCTGACTCTTTGTCTGAGTGGGTGTCCTTCATCGTAGCCAGTAGCCTCTGTCTCTTTGTCCCTGTCCTGTATTCTCACTGTCAGTCCCTCTCTTTGTCTTTTTTTTCCTGTGTCATTTTTATCTGTATATTTCTTGCTCATTATTACCAGACCTCCCCTGTGTACTCTGCTAATTGGTACCATCCTAATATTAACAGTGTTCATCTTGTTATAAAAAGATTTCTTGAAGTAGGAAGATGAACTACATCCAGTTTTAAATAGAAATTTGGACAGGTGTTACATTTTTCATATTAATTACTTTTTTATTACTTAGAAACCTGCAAATAGAAAATACTGGACAGGCAAAAGAAAAGTCAAACAAGACCCAGTGCAAGTATACTATCCTAACTAGAATTTTTAGATTTTCATAATATGCATCTTAAAGTTACAATAATTACTGGCTGCACCAGTAATGGTAACAGCAAGTGCGGCTTAATACTAAAGCAAACGCTCTTTGAGCAGTTACTTTGTCAGAAATACAATAAAAAAACAACTGATGTGTCTATTTAATGCACACTAACTTTTTAAAAATAAAGAAATCAGTCAATAATAATGCAAACGTCATCTGATTTCATGCTGCGCATGTCGTGAGTAGTTTTTCACACAACAGGGGACAGTATAGTTGTTTACCTTGCTGAGAAGTTGGAGGTGTGGAGTCTGTTGCCTGCAGCTCACTGTGGCCACTCCTTCCTGTTCCATTACTCCATACAATATTTAAAAGTCATCTGCTGACAAAAAAATGCTAAAAATGTTTGTCCTGTTGTGTAGAAGCATTTTTAATGAACAGTCACTGTCAGCTGTAATCTCAGTGACAAGACCCACTTGCAAACTTTTAATGTGAACTAGCAGCAGTAGAAAATGTTTGGTTTGCATTACAGTAACTCTGATACGGCTGTGAGAGGCCAAACGGTAAATAATGAGGCGGATATTAATGAGATAAAATAAAATAACAGTAACTCTGAATTATGTGTGTCATTTCCTATGAATCCCTTGTGTGTAGACAATGAAAACCACTATATAGAGAGGTAATTACTGTATAAACATTGAATGGCTCTTGTTGAAAAATCCTGACTGTAAAAATATAAAAAACAGGGTTGATTTTATGAGCTTGGTTATAAACACATTTACCGAGTCCTGCTGCTCCCTCGCTCCCCCTCTCCCTGCCTGTCTCTCTCTCTCTCTCTCTTTCTCTCTCAGTTTGACATCACAGGTGTGTATATATAGCCAGCAGATGGATTCTCCCATGGCAGGCTGCTTCAGTGGTTCTCTGTCCCTCGGCTGAGGCCCACCGCCGGCCACTCAAATGAACTAGAAGCAATTCCTTGTTTACATTGTCTCTTCTGATCTGCCCAACCATCAGTTTATGACTGCATCCATTATTCATGTATTCCCCTCCACCACACACATGCTCACAGGCACACACAGTAAAACATCACTGCTGCTGAATGTATTCTTAAAGCCCCCATGTTCAGGTGTGAACCAGCTAGAGTTGATTAACCTGGCATCATATGAGGTCTACACACACTCTCTGAAAACCAATAGAAAAGAATGTTAAAGTTAAAATCTTCTTGATATATTGAAATCCTTACACAGCCCCTGCCTAACTATGCTGTAGTTTGCCTTTAAAAAAAAAACAACGAATTCATGAAGACATTGTTGTTTGCTGTTTTTCTGTGATGTGATGCAGCACTAGCAAACCTGTCAGTTAGCAGTATTTACTGTGAAACTGCTGTGACAGGATTTATGTCTGAAAGTATTTATGGGACGCTCTGGACGGAACAGTAGCAAGAAGAGCACTAGAAACAGGTACAGCTACTGTGAGACTTGACTTAGGTGACATACAGTAGTTCTAGTATATTCTTACTGTGGTAAGAAGTAACTGCTGACTACAGACCAGCACATACTATGCCACCACAACATGCCTGGAATGCTATCAAGTAGGTACACAGCCAATCTGAGTGAAACCTTAGACATCCCTGTGCACAGTAACCCGCATGCACACACACTTTGCTGAGTATTTGCTGCATGTGACAGGCGAGACGCATGCTGGCTACGTAGTCAAGTGAGTACTGAAGAAGTATGGGCCAGGGTGGTGGGTGTTTAAGAGTTTAAGAGAAGACAGAAACTTAGTCATGCATATATTCTCCACCTTCCAGGCAACAGGATATCATATAAGGTTTTGTGATAGGAGCATGGATTTGAAATGTAGATGTTGTTTACATAAGCATCTTTTTAATTTAATCCCAAAATTTCAGAAGATCAGTCTACCTCCAGTAATGATAGCTGTCATTTATAATTAAACACTGATTCCATGTGACTTTCAAAGACGAAACTTAATGCTTCAAATCACACTCATGGGTACTGTAAATGTTTGTGAGTCTCCAAAGACTTAGCTATTTAATGAGTATATAAAGTATAAGTAACTGAATTATCCACCACAGTACTGAGAGACTCAACGGCAGAAGCAGATAATAATCTTATGACTAACTCAGGCTTTTTTAGGGCCAGTTTATTGGCATTGTTATGGGGTTGGAATCAAATTAGGAAAATGGCAGCTGTGCCCATGCCATATCATTGTGAAATGTAATCCAATTTGACCAGACAATCCTCTTGAAATGGACAGAGCACTCTCTTGGGCTCATCTGTAATAGCATTGCTCTTTAGCCCTGCAGAAATACTCCTGTTGCAGTCTGTTTTGTTTTTAAGTTGCATACACTTCCATACGGCATTGGTCACCCAGGTGGTTGCCTGGCCTACTGTTGGCATGTCTTTATTACTCAATAGTCTTCCTGGAACAAAATGTGTTGGGTGTAGCAACAAAAACAAACTGGCTGTAAACACAAATCTTTTTTTTCATTTACGTCATCGTATTTTGGATGTTATGGGGTCATCCAAACAAACTATAGCAGTGTGACATGTACAGTACAGGGAAACAAATTTCACTTTGTTGACATAGCACATAATCTGCTTTGATGGCTACTTGTCGGATGTCACTGTGAAAGGGGACATTGTAAAGTGCTGCATGTGTACCCTGTGGTAATACGAGCTTGCCACCTTGGAAAGGAGCAATGGGCCGCCATCAAGAGGCTTGAAAGTTATTGCAATTCCAGGGATTCTCCATGGAAACCATTTAGAGGGCCTAACCCCATGGTTTAATGAGGCTGAGAGTGATGCACACAAACACTTTACTCTCTTTGAGTGTCTTTGAGAATGTGCGTGTAATGCATGCAATTGTAGGATTTTGTTTCTTCAAAGGCTGTAAAACACAGGGAAATCTATTCATTCCCTTTTTCTGGCAGAAGGTCAGGGAAGCTGAGTGCCTGCTTGTGTCAAATCAGGAGTAAGTGAATAGCTGGAGATGAACAGCTGCATGCAATGATGGTGCCAAGCAAAGCATGTAAATGAACTGTCATGAAACTCTACTCACTCAGTCGGACACAGAAAGAAATGTTGAAAGGCGTGCGTGACAACAGCGGTCTTACTCTCTACCGAGGGGAACAATTAACTTAAATAGCCATATGTGCAAAACTGCAAGAGTGACTACAATTACATTCTGTCGTTATCTAACTCACGTGCACTCAAACATATTCAAACATATAGCAGATGGCTACAATCACAGGGGTTGTGGCATGTCTTGAATGTGGATGAGCATGCTCAGGATACATAAGCCATAGCCTTTGACTTAACAGGATAGTGTTTTACTGTAGAAGCTGATATGAGTAAATTGTTTTGATTATCTTCAACAAACTGGGTAATTCTTAGGGGTACCTACACATGGTTTCCTTTTGTAAGAGAAATTAATTTTCCCATTGCCAATAATTTATTTCTGTCCTCACTGTTAAATTACACTTTTGGTTTGTAGTAATTCCCCAAAATGTAGATTCTCCTTATACCTAAAGCAGGCATATTCCTGTTTTTTATCTTTAATATGCTCCATTTCCTTACACAGACTATTATCCTTTCTTCCAGGAGGCTCAGAAGGTGAACAACCCCGCCAACAATCAGGCAGCAGACAGACCAAAGGGTGCTGATGAGAAGGAGGAGGTCCCAGCCAGCGAAGTGGGATGGATGACTTCAGTCAAAGACTGGGCTGGTGTCATGATCTCTGCTCAGACGCTCACTGGCAGAGTTCTGGTAGGTTTTCCCTCTTCTGCTGGATATAGAAGTCTCAAATTTCAAATCCAGACTTGAGTCCATTAGCACTTTTTTGGCACTAGTGATTTGCCCACAATTAGATAAGAGCAGCAGTATTTCCTCAGGCAAACAGACTGCAAATGGTTTTCACACCCAAGTTGGCTTCCAGATTAATCCACTGTATAATCCACTGCCATGTACACATTTAGTCACCTGTTTTGTACAGGTCCCACAGGAGACATGCTGTAGGACAATTAATTTGATCCCCGCAGATGCTAGTGGTTGCTCTGTCCTCACTGAATCTCAGTTGGCTATTTGGCTGGCACTGTCCAGCCTTCTTTCTGCTGCAATGGCCTATGTGCGGCATGCTGTAACTCACTCTGCTGTGCCTGTGCCAGATGAACAGATGAGTGTGTGTATTTGTGTGTGTGGGTGTGCATGCACATGCTTGTGTTTATGTGAGAGGAGAGATTTATTTGTCAAGTACAAGAGGTAGCATATGTGGTGTTTGTGCAGTAGGTAAGAGGCTGTCACTGTGGCTTTTCTGTTGGTATAAATTACAGGCCCACTCCCCTTCTGACCCTCCTTTCTTTAGTTTCATCCCTCACACTGCCCCAAGAATCTGTCCTGCACTCTACACCTCTTTGCCAAATCCTGATATATCCTGATGGCCTAGCACATATATTTATATATCACAGTTAATTTTGTCCATTGATGGTCACAAAGAAAATTATCCGTAGTCACAGAATCTTCTGCTGTGTATAATGCCTAGTAACTTAATTGACTGCAGGGATACATACAGGCCCCTCAAAGTATTGGAACGGTAAGGCAAATTCCTTTGTTTTTGTTGTTTAAGATCAAAAGACGAGTTCAGAATTTCAGCTCTAATTTCGTGGTATTCACATCTAGATGTGAACAACTCAGGACATACTACCCTTTGTTTGAACCCACCCATTTTTCAACTGAGCAAAACTATTGGAACATATGACTGACAGATGTTTCTTGTTCCCCAGGTGTTACCTTTTAGGTTGATTGTCTAGACATTATATAGCTCTGCATGACTAGTCTAAGTTTTCATCCTTGGTTCAAACCTATAAAGACTCCAATTCCTGTTAAAGAGGATAAACTAACATGAAGACCAGAGAGCTGTCTATGGGAGAAAAGCAAGCCATTATCAAGCTGAGAAAAGAAGGACAATCTACCAGAGACATCAGACAAACATTGACCATAGCAAGCACAACAATTTGGAATGTCCTGAAAAAGACAGAAACTACTGGTGTACTGAGCAACAGACATCGAACAGGTCAGCCAAGGAAAACAACAGTAGTTGATGACAGAAATATCGTGAGAGCTGTGAAGAGACCCCCAAAACATCAGTAAGTGACATCACCAACGACCTCCACAGTGCAGGGTGAAGGTATCACAATCCACAAAGAAGACTCAGAGAGCAGAAATATAGAGGCCACACCACAAGATGCAAACCACTCATCAGCAGCAAGAATCGGAAGGCCAGATTGAAATTTGAAATTTGTACAGAGATGAGCCGCAAAGGTTCTGTAACACAATCGTATGGACTGATGAGTCCAATATTAATCTCTACCAAAGTGATGGAAAGGCCAAAGTGGACAAGGACAATGACCCAAAGCACACTGCCAACAAAACAAAGGACTTCATCAGGGGGAAAAAGTGGAAGGTTTTAGACTGGCCAAGTCAATCACCTGACCTTAATCCAATAGAGCTGCATTTCAACTCCTTAAGAGGAGACTGAAGGGAGAAACACCCCGAAACAAACAAGAACTGAAGAAGCTGCGGTAAAGGCCTGGAATAGCATCACAAATGAAGAATGCAACAGTTTGGTGATATCGATGGGTCGCAGGCTTGAGGCAGTTATTGCAAGCAAGGGTTATGCCACCAAATATTAAATGTTATTTACTTTAAGATTATTTGTTCCATTATTTTTGCTCACCTAAGAATGCTGTGGTCTAATACAAACGGTGATATGTCCTAAGTTGTTTAAAACATCTAGATGTGAATACCAGGAAATAAAAGCTGAATTTCTGAACTCTTGTCTCATACTCATCTTTTGATCTAAAACTCAAATGTCTTCAGTGAACAACAAAAACAAAGCCTTACCGTTCCAATACTTTTGCAGGGGACTGTATTCCAAAAGCACTGCTGTAAACAGGACACAATTAAGATTTGATTCAATATAAAAAAATGTAAAACTGCCTTTCCATCAGCAACATTTCTCTTGTGCTCCTCCTCTCAGCTTAGCAAGATAGCTATGAACAGCATGTTGCCTATAACTGCAAGCCTCATTCTATTAGCTGGCTTGATTATATTAATACTTTACACTGTCTGCTCAGAACTGGGGCCCATTCAAGTTAACCTTGTCATTTCCATGCTAGACAATATGCGCTAGAGTGAAATTAACCTGACACCAATTGTGTCTTTTCGTATCCATTTTGTAACTTTCTCACTGAGGTAAGATAAGCTGATCTTCTATTACTGCTGAGAAATTGAGGGCGTTTTTATGGTGTGTCTATTTGAGTGTATCCGTCACCTTTGTAGATCGGAAAATGAACATCAACATTTTTTCATGTATACTTAGTTCTGTCTTGTCAAACTTACCTTTTACATCATAACTTACATCAAAATATTAACACTGGTATATCCACCTTGCACAGACACCCACTGTGCATCTGTGAACTGAATGAAGCAGCAATGGGAGTCAGAAGAGAGAGGGATCCAAACTAAAACACTGTCATTGTTAATGTTTGCTGGAATGTGACACTTTCTTCACGCCTGGTGAGATTAGCTGGGAGATGAGAAAGATTCAGGCCTTTCATGGTGAAGAAGATGCTGAATCCTGAAGAGAGCTGTCAATTTACTAAATGAGCCTCTCTTTCATCACTTTCCCACTCACACAGCTCTGCTGGCATGGACACAGCTCCCTCTCGCTTTCATCTTCTGCTCTGACTTAGCCCTTCCAATCTGCCCTGTATGTATGTGTGTATGTGTATGTGTATGTGTATGTGTGTGTGTGTGTGTGTGTGTGTATGTGTGTATGTGTGTGTGTATGTGTGTATATGGAGAATGAAACGGAGTGTGGTTGTGACAGTCAGTGAGAAATAAGGCACTGGTTGCATTAAAGGGGTTTCTAGGCATAGAGATATCCCGGTGTATCACCTGCTGTGATTTGTGCTACTTCTAGTGGGGCTGATAATTCTGCTCAGCAGGCTGTGTTTGCTTACATACTCAGTCTAATGATATGCAGCACAATATGTACTTAGGAGTGCACCGTGAAGGTGAATGAGTATCTCCTCATGTGGGTGGAACATTGTACATTTGTGGGGTGCATGTATGCTGACATTTCTCTACATATACAGTACAGCATGATAGCTTGTGTATCTAAGTATGCGTGTGTGTGTGTGTGTGTGTGTGTGTGTATGTGTGGGTGGGTGATTTTGTGGGACTCTTGCTCTCCTATCACTGCAGATCAAAATTGCGGCGGTGAGTATCCGTGTACACAGAACCTGGCAGGTTACCATAGCAACTGCTGTGTAGTGGTGTAGTGGCGCTCAGTCATCTGACATTAGGGGGTGTCTGCCTGGGCAGAGCAGAGCAGGAATAACACACACACACACAGGTGGGAAAAAAAACTTGATGCAGGCTCCATGCTTCCATGCTGGAAGAGCCAAAGACCAAGCAGATTAAGACAGATAGCCCCTGGTAGGCAAAAAGGCAGAGCCCCCCCCCATCCCCGTTCATTTGTTTGCCATGATGACTTCACTGCTAGTGAAAGATCAAGTATACCTCCAGGCTTATTGAATTGCCAGACAAATCTCAATCCACCCGTGGCAGCAGCTTGGCCTTGGAGTCCCCCATATTGTTTCCCCATACTGGGCTAGCATGAGCCAGTGTTGCCCCTCTGTGTGGGTCTGTAGCTTTTTCTATCACTATCATCTTTACAATATAAGCTTATCAAGTATTTATCACCTCATTCGCACATGATTGCCCTCCAGTGTTTTCAGCTGACACTGAGCTCTGGGTCAAAAGGAAAAACATGAGGGATAGTGAACTAGAACTTAATCGAACATGCTCCTCTGCTGGTAATGCAGTCATCAAAAAATAGAGAAGAAGAAAAAAACTAATTTTCTAGCAGTAATCCGTTCCAAACATATATGTTTTCGAAAGAACTGATTGATATGTAAAAAAGTCATTCTCAATGAGGACTTATGGAGAGCAGGAAACAACTAAGTGACTAAGACCGAGCTGCAGCTTAAGGAGCAAGTGTCTTTCTGAGCCTGGCGAGACAGCTGTCCACACAGAGACACTGCATGTGGAATATAGGTGAAAGGCAGAGCACCTCTGGTCCGACAGTGGAGCCAACCATCATTCTCTTGACAACCGTATCACCCCAGTTGCTTTGTAGAAAGACCTCATTAAGCCCTTAAGGGCACGATGTCCGAGGAAATGACTAGTTGCACAGCTGGAAATATGAATAGGCTGCGGTATTACCACAGAATCTCATCTAATTGATTCCTACATTAATGTAACCGTAACAATCCCATAATGTCCAAGAAAAACTGCGAGGATTATAACCTATGAATGTAGACATTCACCCTATCTTTCTGCGCAGTAGATTTGCACGGCATGGTGGGTCCAGAAATAGGTCAGCCCTGCCATCTTTCTTAATGGGATCTTGGCTGGCAGCCGGAGACCATCTGTTCACATGGCCTGCGCACGGTCATCCCTCTGCCTACCCATCCACCCACACTGCATGGCACTCTGTCATTTGCACATCTGTCTCTCTCTGCATTCTAACTACAATTGTAACATATCCACCATGCTTCATTTTATAAAAACTGATTTTACAATAGAGCCTCTGACTGGGAGCTCACTTTTCTTTCTCACACTTTCTCCCTTTACCTGTGCCGTCAATTACCCCTCTCTTATCTCAATTTCTCCATTCTGGAGTTTATGTATGGGAACAGTTG